GACTTGTCCAAACTTCTGTTGTTTTAAAGTTGCTACAGTGAGTAGGCTTGGATACATGGCATTTCACACATGTATGAGTGTATCTGTAGGATCTTTCAGAAGTGAAATTATTGATACAGTTTTTGATGGATATTGCAAAGTTGCCCTCCCTCTTGCCCCATCAATTACCCCATCCTCCCCGCCCCACCAGTAATGGATGAGAATCTCTGTTTCCTATCTTCACTGAGGGCTCACTTAATATTGTGGCATCCGATTCATGGTTATTAGCTAGTTATAAAGGAGTCTATCTCTACTCTAGAGAACTTCTAGTCTTATTGGGAGAGTCTGGGAGACAAGTCACAGTGAACCATCAGTAAATCTTTATTTAATGAAAAACGAATCAGGCCATTAACTTGTGTTTTGAAGAAGATAGAATATAGATCATAGAGTAGGCTCATCAAGAACCCCTAACATGTGACCATCTTAAGTTGTATGTTTTATAGGGGGAAAAATTACCAGAAAAGTCTTTGTTTACAATTCTGAGTCTGCCTAGCAGGCTGTCATATTGTAGTACCACAAGATTGAGAACAATCCAAATATTAAAAAAACTTCTTTTTTTGAATGTTTATTCATTTATGAGAGAGAGAGAGAGACAGAGTGCAAGCCGGGGAGGGGCAGAGAGAGAGGGAGACACAGAATCCAAAGCAGGCTCCAGGCTCTGAGCTGTCAGCACAGAGTCTGATGTGGGGCTCGAACTCACAAACTATGAAATCATGACCTGAGCCGAAGTCGGACGCTTAACCAACAGAGCCACCCAGGTACCCCCAGAGAACAATGCAAATGCTTCCTTCTTTAAAAAATTTTTTTTTTATGATTTTATTTTATTTTTGAGAGAGAGACACAGTGAGAGCAGGGGAGGGGCAGAGAGAGATGGAGACAGAATCCAAAGCAGACTCCAGGCTCTGAGCTGTCAGCGCAGAGCCCGATGTGGGGCTTGAACTCACAGACTACGAGATCATGACCTGAGTCAAAGTCAGACGCCCAATCGCCTGAGCCACCCAGGTGCCCCCAAATGCTTCTTAATCCAGGTCCATTACTCACCATCCTCAGAAGAAGGTTGAAAGAGCCCTGGCTACAGCAAGAGGCTAAAGAATTTTCTTTTTCCCGTGAAAGAAGAGGGTAAGTCTTCAGATCCAGACCATTTGCTAAAGTTGAAATTTGGCAAGTGGCCATTAAATGACATGTGCATCTTAGTCTTTGAATATATGTATATTACATATGATATATGTAACATATGTTAATATAGTATATTACATGTAATATATCATATATAACATATATAATCATATGTATATTACATGTCATATGTATATCATATATTACATGTATAACACATTACATGTAATACATCATATGTAACATATCATATATATACATATATATTATATATATATATACACACATACATACATTATTTATTGATTTTAAATTCAGACCCTAGTTTAAATTTGGCCTAGTATCTAAGTGATTTAAAAGTGGAGGTTCTAATCTGGATGCCAAAGTTCAAACTCTTGCTTCCTCCACTTAGTAATCAATTGCTGCCCGGGATGCTTTTCATCTGATAATATTTCACTCACTCAGGTGCAAATATTGGTAGAGTTCCTACTACATGCCTGGCACCAGATAAAGATGAATAACACACACAAATAGGCTGCTTCAAGTGACTCCAAAGAGGAGGAAATGCAAATGTGGCTAGGCTTAACTATTTACCAAAGGAAACCGTTTTCTCTCCATTTTGGAACATGCTGTCAGTTTCACTTGTCTGTGGGAAGCACTGCCTTTGGTCTGGCACTTGTTTTCATGTGAGCTAAGATTTGTTCCTATTTATAATTCTCCGAGAAAGTTTAGGGCAGTATTAGGAGAAAAGAGTGACTTTAAACTATTGTGTGTAAATTAAACTATTTCAAGGTCTAAGGGCTTCCATCTGTGTTTATTAATAGATGGAGAATTATTTGACCTCAGCATGACAGGAATTTTTCAATCAGCTGAGAGAGACTCTCCCAAGGAGATCTGACCCACACCCTAAAGATTAAGTAAAAATATGCTCATAGCTGGAGAACCTTAAGAGCAAGATGGAAACAGATGTTAGTTTATTCTCCATCTTTATTCCCTTACTGCTTCTTAAAGAAAACATGTTTTGTTTTTTCATTTGTTTGTTTATTTTCATTTTTTTCTGCAGAAAGGCCTTTGCTGGGCACACAGGGGCGAGTCTAATGTCAGGGTGACGGGACAGGGCACATCCTGCAGAAAAGCAGGGGTGGCATCCCTGCCCAGGGGCAGCCTGAATGCACTAAGGGCTGGCCCTTCAGACAGGCTCAGGGGAGGTCCGCCCATAAGGGCTTCAGGCCCCTCCGTCATGGAGATGCCATCCTGACATGGGGAACATGGGTCCTTGCTCTCATGGCTGCCTTGGCTGCTCTCAGGGAGCACTGTGAGGTGGGATAGAGGGCTTGGGAGGGCCCATCAGGAAGGAGACAGGCTACATGATGGAGAGGAGGGAGATTGGGCTGTGTGGTAGGCCCAGAAACTTCTGGGCACTTCAGTCGTGATATCTGGAAGCAATGGGAGATGCTGGCCCCAAGATTGAGGTCCAGGTCAGAGCAGAACAGTTGGATCTAGAGCTGGTTTTAACTTGGGCTCTGCTGAAAGTGAATGGTTATCATTGGAACAGAGAACTGAAGAGAAAGAGGAGTTAGTCTCCAGCATTCTCCGTAGCATACAGCTCTGGGCACACATGTGGTACACATTCCCCATATTCACACAAATAGATGCAGGTGGCTGTACACTTATGTACACACATGGTCATACACACCAGAAGGCACGTGTGCAGACACCCACATGCACAAGTACAGATATAATTGTAGGAAAGCATGGGTTCTTAATGGGGCACCTGGCTGGCTCAGTCAGTGGAACATGTGACTCTCGATCTCAGGGTTGTGAGTTTGAACCCCACATTGGGTGTGGATCCTACCTCTAAGGGCCAGCCTTATGTGACTGCACTAGTTGGATGTCCAAGAAGCCAGCCCTGGCCACAGGTGCCCAGGCTAAATATGCTATAGTGGAAGACTGTGGAAATCCAAACTCCTCTGAAAAGCAAGAAAGTAAAAATTTGCTCAGACTGTCATTTCACTTTGAAAGTAAAAATTGTTGTGAAGTTTAAGTGATGTTTTAGTCTGGACAAATAACTTCATTCCTCAACACCTCTCTACAGAGTGTCTTTATGAAGCCTGACGTGGCCTTCTCAAATAGAATTGACAGCTTTCATCATGCTCCTTCCTAATTTGTGTAATTACAATGTTAAACATTTGGGCTTTGGAATCATACAAAGCTGGGTTCGAATCCTAGCTCTGTCAGTGACTAGTTGTGAGACCTGGGCAAATTACTTGCATCTAGTTTCTCACCTAAAAACCAGGATAATGCTATTCATCTGTGGCCCCAGGGCCGCTATACTTGTTAGGCTTAATAATGGCAGTCTAGCTGGAAATGAGGCTACAGGACTTATCCTGAAACTATGTTTGCAAAACTAAGCACATTCGCTTTCACTTAGATTTTTGGTTTATTTGGAGTGGCTTTGGGAAGCATGCTTATGGAGATGAAGAGGGCAAAAAGCATTAGTCACAAGTGCCTGACACTGAAAAAATTAACTGCCAATATTTACTAGCTTTTCATACTAAATTTCTTTTTATTTTTTTTTT